ATGCGATTTCGAAAGTTGGAAAAGCTCCGTTATGTCATTTGAGACTTGCCTGCAAAATTTGGTATCGTTTGGAGTTGATTTGATAGGGTTCGGACGCTTTGTTGCAATTCTAGAAGTTCTTGAAGTTCATAGTGATTTTCATGCGTTTTGGCATCCGATTTGTGGTTCTAGAGGTTATTTTGATGTTCCGATTGCGCGAGCCAGTTCGTGTTATGTGTGTGGGTGTTGGATTTGGAGCCCCGAGTGCTCGGATGAGTTTCGAGAGCGTTTCGGAGTGTTTGGAAGAAATTTCTGATTTGCTGCTGTCTGATCTCGCAATGGCGAGTAATGGGTCGCATTTACGACCACCACTTTTGCGGACATTGAATCGCATTTGCGAAAAAGGCTGGGGCTGGCAGGCTTTGCATTTGCGAAGCTAGTCTCGCAAATGCGAAAACCATCTGGGCGGGGGAGGTTCGCATTTGCGAAGTTTTGGGCCGCTTTTGCGAAGATTTTCATCGCAATTGCGATGTTAACAGGGTAAATCCAGGCTTCGCATTTGTGAAGATTTCTTCGCTTTTTCGAGTTCGCATTTGCGAACCCAGTGTCGCAAATGCGACATCTGCAGCCTGCTAAAAGCTGGGTATTCCGGGTTTTTGCTTCATTTTTTTCATATTTTTGAACCCTAGAGTCGAGGTGAGGCGATTTTGTGAAGAGATTTTCACACCAAGTCATTGGGTAAGTATCTTCAATCAATTTCCAACTATATTTTGTGATTATATCTTAGATTTAACATCAAATTCAAGAGAATCTAAAAGAAAATTTGGGAAAAATTATAAAATCTTTCAAAAATGTAAAATGATGATTTGAAGGACCAAATGGTATCGGAATTTGATAATTTTTGTATGAGTGAACTCGTATCGGAATAGGTATTCGGTTTTTGTAAATTTTGTCGGAAAACTTCCCACTTAGCTTTTTTCTAACTCTTACTTGTTACTTGGCCCTTAATTGCCTTAACTGAAGTGATTGTCCTCCTTATTGTTTTGTTATTTCTTAATTGTAAATTCCTCTATGACCCCGTGCATACATGCTATGTGTCCCAATTGTTGTGGTTGCGGGTGTACTTATCACGTGCCTTATATGTCTTGTTGTTTTTGTAAAGGTTGTTGTGCTTCTTGGTTTTTTCGTGATTCTCTTGTTGCCGTGTACTCATACTCTTGGTGGTAGAGATCCTTGTGATTGGGTTGTTGAATTATTATTGTTGTTGATTTTAAACTATGTCTGGTTGTTGATATGTTGAGGAGGAATATGGGAGAATTGATGTTGTCTGGTGAGATCGAATTGCATACCGCAACAAGGAGTAATAAGGGTGGACAGGTGGGATCGAGTTGCACGCCGCAACAGGTGAGGAGTAATAAGGGTGGACTGGTGGGATCGGGTTGCACGTCGCAACAAATATATACTATTTACTTGTATTGTAATTGTTACAGAGGAATAAGGGAGGATTGGTGGGACCGGGATGCACGCCGCATTAATATATATATATATATATATATATATATATATATATATATATATATATATATATATATATATATATCTCTTTGACTGAACAAGTTTTTTGGTGGCTTTACATTTCATTTAGGATTTGGTTATAGCTGAATACTGAGAAGACCCTAGTTCATTTATTTAGGACTTTGACAATTTGTATTTCGGGTTTTACTGAGTTGTGCGGATCAGGTTATTGGCATTGAGTTGTTGAATTGCTGTTGTTCCTTGAATTCTTTCCCTGAAACTATTACTCTGCGAATTAATTTTTTTTAAGTAAATTTACTACGTTGAATTATTTCCTCCTGTCCTGTTAGGTTATTAGTAATATCGTGAGTTAAAATAAAGGAATTAGTATTACGCTGATATATATGACTTTTAAATTTGAACTCGCCGTGTATATATAAACCTTTCAATAATTCAAATTCCTATAAATGTTATGTTTTATTTTAATTAGTTTCTCAATTAAATTTCCTTAACCCGATGATATTGAATCTCACTTAAAAAGGAATTTCTACTAAATTTTAATTTATTAAATCCTATATTAAAGGTAATAATTCATTCAATGTTGTATTTATTTGAAAAAGATATTTTCTTTATTCAAATGATTTCTAAAAATAACTCCATCTTTTCTTGTTGATTTCCTAATTAGTTTAGAAGCTGTAATCTACTTTATGTTATATAAATGAGATTCCTTGAACATCTTAATTGCATTGGTTATGGACCCTATGTACTGAGTAGCATGAGGATGACGTTGTGCAAAGTGAGATAGAAATATGTGGGCACAAGGTGTCGTGTGTGCTAAAGGTTTGGAAATTGAGGTAATGATATGAGACACCGAGGATTGAGATGGTCGGGATTGTGTATTAGAAATGATGTGATTGATTGAGTTGACATCGTCTTCTTTGTTTGAACATATTCTTACTTGTCTGTGTCACGGTTATGTTGGTGTTAATTTACTTGGTTATCGATCGTTACTATCGGTGTTCCCCTTTATTGTCTCTACTATTTGTAGTTTGATTTTCCCATGTTATTGATATTGCTTTGTTATCTTTATCTTGGTAGTTCATTATCATATCTTGCTCAATTTATTTGACTAGTAGGTGTCTTGACTGTTCCTCGTCACTACTCCACCAAGGTTAGTCTTGATACTTACTGGGCACCGCTGTGGTGTGCTCATACTACACTTCTGTACATTTTTTTGTACAGATCCAGGTATTTGATTAGTAGTAGCTGTGCGGATCATTGCGGTGGAGACTCAAGGTAAACCAGTTGCTGCGTTCACAGGCCTCGGAGTCACCTTCATTTGTACTTATTTCCATTTGTTCCTTTTGTTTTGGAACAGTGATGTATTGATTATGTATAACTACTCCTAGAAGGGCTTATGACTTATACTACCGGTTTTGGGAATTGTAATTGTTCAGAGTTATATAATTTGGAGTTAGTGAATATCAATATTATTTCTGTTAATGTTAGGCTTACCTAGTTTAGAGACTAGGTGCCATCACGACTTCTTCGGAGGGATTTTGGGTCGTGACAAGTATATACAATGTGATGCCCAAACCCTCTCTTTATAGGATGATATTTAGGTAATACAAAGGGATGTCATGAACATGGTATTAACTATTGAGATCATTGGGGAAGATCATGGAGGGGGTTATGGAGGTGTGGGAATTACAACAATAATTGTAAGAAGTAGTGGGAGGTTAATGAAGAAGAGTAGTGGGAGTGACTTCTTTAGGAGTTATAGACATCCACTAATATTATTATAATATTTCATAACACTCCCCCTTGGATGTCTGTAAATAATGTGCCTCGTTAAAACCTTACTAAGAAAAAATCCTGTGGGAAAAAATCTTAGCGAAGGAAAAAGAGTACACGTATCTTGTAATACGCATTATTTGCCGCCTCATTAAAAACTTTGCCAGAAAAACCTGGTGGAATAAAATCTTAGCTAAGGGAAAAAGAGTACAGCGCGTATTTGCCTCCCCCTGATGAAAACATCACTTTATTCTTCGGAGACGACGAATTCCAAGCTTGTATAACAACTTCTCTAATATTGAGATCCACAATGCCTTGTGAAGAAGTTTGTCAAATTATCACTTGAACAAATTTGTTGAAGAACTTTGGTGAAATATGCTTTATTTTGTCTCCTTCGATATATCATTCTTTCAATTGAGATAAACAAATATCATCGCCTTCACTATTATTGGAATCTTTTCTTCAAGGAAAAGTCACACATCTATTGTGTGTTGAGTCACTTGCTTTATCAGTTGCTAGTATATTGACATGATTTGGATAAGTATCAACAATTGGCTGCCTTGTGAAATAATAATATGGCAGTACCCTCACATACAGAATGAACTTCAGAAAATGCCTGCATTTGCATAACCAACAAAGCCTTGACAATATCTATTAGAACAAAAAAAATCTATATCATAGATTCCTTTTGCAATATAACACTAGTCGTATTTCAATACACATAGGAGTATAACTATATCTCACTAGAACATTGTTATACTTATGGTTCTAGCAAGATACATTAGTGCACCAATTGGACTAGACACAAAAATAAATCATGTATACCATGATTACTCCAATCCACGTAAGGATCTGCTGAAACTTTAACAATTTAAATCCTTTAAGGATTTTCATTATACGCATATTAAGTTTTTTTATGTATTGCCAAATTAAAACCTGAAAAGGATTTCATCCACCATAGGAGAACATATCTCCATATAACTAGTGCCGGAATATTTACGAAAAATCTTGTGCTACAAGTCGTCTTTATGTCTATCGACTTGATTTTTCATTTTACTTTCAGGTGTTGGGACTATCCGTCCAACTTCACATTTTTTAGGTGAAGTCAATTTTCATTGCGTATTTTTCATTTGGCCAATCATTTATCTGTTCAAATTCCATGACATATTTGAGCTCAAGATCCTCGTCAATATTAATAATATTGAACGCTGCATTATATCAACAATATCGTCGACGATCATTTTACATCGGTTCTGTCGTTACCCACGAAAGACATAACTAGGGGTGTGCATTCGATTTATCGATTCGATTTTGACCCTTAACGATAATTACTTATCGATTATCGATTTGTACATATGCTTATTGTTATCGTTTCAATAAGGTTTTAATTTTTTCGATTTCGATTTATCGATTTTTGAGGCTTATCGATTCGGTTATCGATTACACCAATAAGAAAATTTGGTGTACGCCAGAGAGAGAGGGAGAAACGTACTATTGAAGTCGCCGGAGTACGCCAGAGTATGCCGGAGTTCGCCGGGGTTCACTTTCTCTGCTGGGTTTGTAGTTCGCGGGAGAGAGGGAGAAAGGTAAAAGCGGCGCTGAAGAATGGGTAGAGCAAATAATAGGGTTAGGGACTTTTTTCGAGAAAGAAATACTGCAGCATAAAGTTGATTTCTCTTATACGGAACAAAACATGTCTCTAAAACACAAAATTCAAAATGAAAAATAGAAGGCACTTCCATTCAAGTGTATCTAAAAACTCAAATCCAAGATTTTAAATTCTCGTAAAATTCTAAACAGGTAACTAGTTTAGATGATTCCAATTTTGTTGGCAACGTCCAATGCATTGTAGTCAGGTATTGACCTTCTTTGTCTGGATGTCATACATCTTCTTCACGGCATCCTTAATCTTCTTTTTATCAGCCTTGATGTCCACGATGAAAACAAGGGTGTTGTTGTCCTCGATCTTCTTCATCGCAGACTCGGTGGTGAGGGGATACTTTAGAATCCCATACTGATCAGGTTTGTTCCTTCCAGGTGCACTAATACGAGGGTACTTGGGGTTTCTATCTTTCTTCAAAGTCTTGGGTCGGTGGAATGTAACTTTTGTCCTTAACTTTTGTGACTTCTTCTTGAAGGTTGATCCTGACTTGACGGCCTTGGCAACCTTAGCTGCCTGTGCCTTGGGGTCAGATTTTTTGGACGGATCAGCTTTAGCTGGAGCCATTTGGTTAGGTACAGTCCTGAAACCCTACGAGAAATCAACCAGCATACTTGAGAGAAGTTGCTCTGCCGATTATAGGGTTAGGGAATTAAGATAAAGGAAAGGGTATTATTGAACAAGGGTATATTTGTCTTTTTAGTATATCTTATCGGTTTATCGATAAATCGATAACCGAAGAGGACAAAATTGAAATCGATAACTCGATAAGGAAAATTTTGAAATCGAAATCGAAATCAATAAATTGATAAACCAATATCGATAAACCGATAACAAATAATCGATTCGATTTATCGATAAACCAATTCGAATGCACACCCCTAGTTATTCATTTAACGTAAATATGAGCGCATCATCCACTCTATTAGAACTAGTCGGGTTATTTCCCCGGGCTAAGCCAGGTCCCAACAGCTATGTGGGCAACAGCTATCGGGCAGCTTTTGAGCCTCTCTTTTAACTTAGGGTGTGTCTATGATATATATATATATATATATATATATATATATATATATATATATATCTTGGATTGTTTTTCAGCAGTGACTTAATCTTTCTCAAATTGTGTATGATCACAAGGTATGGAAGTTNTGAAGTGTTATGTCATGGTGCTCTTATAAAGCACTTGCCTCCTTATTATGACCATCTTGAACATTTGCTCATCTCCTTTTTCAAGGAGTTTTATCTTTGGATCCGATTAGTCTATCACACTTCATGCGTCCCATAGACTATGTCCATCATGGACTTTATTCTATTTGGAGCATTAGTAGCTGAAATATGGCAGTTAGTTTTGGGTCAGCAAATGCGCATGGTAATATTTTGCAAATGAATTATCACTTGAATTTCAAGTTCATATTTTCTTGTACGAGGATCTAAATGTACTCATAATAATTCATTCCATGTATTACTTTTTTCAGCTGCTCATTTTTCTCCCCCTAATGCTGGGATCACCAACACACATCCCCAACTTTCTTTGGAGACCCATCTTTATACATTGTGATGGGATAATTAAATCATATTGCACATCCATATTTCTAGATGAAAATTATTTGGTTCTTGACCCTGAACCAATTAAGATAGGGAGAATTTATCATAACTTGTTGGCTAGATGCGTACAAGTGTTGTTGTATATTAAATAATATACCTCATACCAAATTTTGATTTGGGAGTTTTGTTCTCATATCCAATGGTTTAGCTTAATTGGAGGCATACAGTTTCTGCTCAACCAACTTGTATTTAAACAGCATTATCAAGATAAATTATCACAATTTTTATTCTGGAACTGTGATCTAATTATCTGAGCAATCAACCTTGCAAAAGTCAAACTGCAAGTTGATGACAAATGCACATGTGACCATAGAATAGATGCATCTATTAAAATCATATAATAATAAACGGTCCACATGGCAGGTGACTGGGCCCATATATATATATCACCTTTTATACATTCCAAAAATCAGGGAATACAATCCCAACCCCATCTGGTATAGTAATCAATTTATCACGAGAACAAGTCGTACATGAGAATTCTCGAAGAATCTCCTAATTCTTCAATATATGCCAATGTGAATTCTCAATCATTTTTCGCATCATAATTGAATCAGGATGGCCAACCGGTCATGCCAACTAATCTTTGTTTCAGTAAACCTCTAGTTTACTTGTGGCATGTGATTCCATCATCATGCTTATACATGTGTAAGACAAACAGAAGAAAAATCGGGTAACCTTTCATATTTGCCCGGTATGATTATAGTAAATTTATAGTCTCAATATGCCAACCACTTTGGCTAATATATTAGACACCCAAAAAGTTTTTTTTTGAGATTTACTATAATATCAATATCATGAACAATTTCATTCATCCGGGTAGTAATGAATTAGTTCTCCGGAGCTCTTAATTGATTTTGTACTACAAAATATTTTATTACACCATCCATATTGTGAATGTCTCTTTTACGGAGAAAATCATACCATAATAATTGTCATGGTCAAAATCATCATAAGCAAAACCATTTCTCGCTTTAAGTTTGCCTTTAATAACTTTTTATAAGGCATGGCAAAATATTTTTGGCGTACCACATGTACGCAACCAATGACATATTCATGTAACCACATTGTAATATTTATTATATTTATTTCTCTCAAACCTCCCTTAGAGGAGTTCTGGTATTTATCCAACCATGCATAAGCACATTCTTATGCATAATTTTTATCACATATATATTTCAGCATTTACTTTCAGGAATGAGCCTGCATTTATAATGCTTATCACAAGTCACATTTTCAACGAATGGACTTTAATCATGTGAACGTGTCTCGTATTAACAGACCACATAGATACATATTCCTTCACCTTTGAAGGATCATTTTGAGAACCCTTATTGTTCTCCTTTTTACAATTACCATAATGATGACTGTTATTATTTGATCTTCGGCACGCCCACGTTCATTGGTCAACCACTTGTCATTATTTAGACTTATATGCACCGTTATCACATTCATTTCAAGAATGGAGCAAATCAAGTGGGATAAACTTCATGTTTTTTCATGAAAAATATATTATTTTTCTTTAGTCATCATTATATCATCAATATGGTGTATTGGGACTCAAACCCAGTGCCTTACCCATATAAAGGCATGTTAGGCCATAATGAGTTGGGACTCAAATCTAACTCTTATCATCATAGAGCACCGGGACTCAAATCCGATAACTTACCCTTATACAATGGCATAATAAGTCTAAGTGGACTCACCCTTGAGCCTTTCATGATATACTACTTTATAGTAATCAGTTATTTTTGCCCAAACTTTAATGAAAGTTCACATTGATCTTTTTCAGGAACAACCACATGATCAAATATAAAGCGAATAAAACTATCTTAGTTATACAAAATTTATTTTGACCACAACATAAATTTAAATTCTTATTATTTTTTAAGATTAATTAGAAACCTCCTCAATAGTTAACAGTTCCATAATCTTGGCTTGCAAACTGTTGGAGCAGTACATATGGGAGATGATGTCAAAGGCAACGTAATATACTCTTGTTTGTTACTCTAAAGCAGGTACTCCATATGTATACATCTGAACAAATGAAACTAAATTGTTAAGTAACACAAATTAAACCAAGTCTTAAATATTAACGCAAGTTAATTGCAGAATTCATGGCAACTGAAAAATGATACTTCCTGTATAACAGAAGCAGACACAACATTGATATGCAAAAGAAATGCCCAGATTTTCATAGGCTCAACTAAATTGATTCAAGGTTGTAGCTCCCATGGAAGACTTTCATCTCTTATAGAAATTATAAGAAGAATATAGCAATCCGTGCTGATAACGTGTGAAGAAATGTAGCTCAAAGTAATAATATGAAACAAGCAAATAGACAAGAATGTAGAGAGAAAGAGAGGAGAGATTCTTATTTCTTCAATGTATTCAAGTATATACAATGCGATGCCCAAACTCTCTCTTTATAGGATGATATTTAGGTAATACAAAAGGATGTCATGAACATGGTATTAACTAGTGAGATCATGGGGGAAGATCATGGAGGGGGTTATGGAGGTGTGGGAGTTACAACAATAATTGTAAGAAGTAGTGGGAGGTTAATGGATAAGAGTAGTGGGAGTGACTTTTTTAGGAGTTATAGACATCCACTAATATTATTATAATATTTCATAACAATTTTAAGGATATTTTCACACATATTAAGAGATCCGTCTTTTAGCATTAACTAACATAGAAATTGATCATATTAACCTTATTAATTTGTTCATTGCAAATACAACAAAACTCCTATACTTGTATACGGTAGAAATTGGAGAGCTCGATTTCGAAGACTGGATTACACTCCGAGTCCAAGTTCTGGAAGCTCGAAGTAAGAATCAAGCTAGGATGAGCGCACCTCGAGAAGCAAATCGGGGACCCGTCATGATCTGCCTCGAGGGCAGTACAATTTAGAGGGCACTCAAGAAAGAGCGGGAATTTCTCAAGGACATGTGGGGTCAGGGCATACATTATAGGATAAGATTCGTACGAAATAGTACAAGTCCGTACTAGGTTGTTATACAGCTGTACCAATAGAATTCTTTATCATAATTGGAAATGTACCATATTAGGGTTTTCCCCTCCTATACAAAGGGGACCCCAATCATTTGTAAGATAGGCATTATTCACTGCAATAGAACATTCCACTATGCTTCTCTTGTTTAACATGCTCAACAATTATTCTTCAGCTTTATTGTCTTTACTTTATTGTTCATACTTCATTGCTCTTAGCTGACCTCGAGGTCCCTATTTCTCCAACAACACTGATTTGGTTCACCAATTCTTTTTACTTAAGCTTAATATTACTTGTATAATCACTAGTATTAGAATACATCACATATCTTTAAAACCACAAATCAAATCTAATTGTTACTCGTATTTTTGAGGTAAACAGTTTGGCGCCCACCGTGGGGCTAAAGATAATAGTGATTATTTTAGTGCTAGTTTTCTGATAACACATGTTATTCTTCACACTTTTTCTTGTCAAAGATTCTTTGATTTCAGGCTAAGATATGTCTAGCACACAAAACGCACCAGCTCATGACAGTGAGGGACTCGGAGAAAAAAGCGGCATAGGGGTCGGCGTACCACCCATAAACCCTGAGGGAGTGCCAAACGTGGAGCCAGTTGACGTCAGTTTGCACAACGCTCTAAACACTGACGCAGGCACAGACCCTGCAAGGAATGCACACAGGGAAGCCCGAGCCGGAGGCCAGGAAACACAAGGGATGGAAGAAGGAGGAGACAGCCTCCAAGTGATATTCGAGATGCTGCAAGCTCAGCAAGTGGCCATCGCTCAACTTCAGAGTCAGAAGAGAACTCCAAACACCACCAAACCAGTGAACGCCCGATATACTGAACCAGCGCTTGAAAGGCCCGATGAAAATGGCTCGGGGACCGACCCCACAATCATGAAAATGCTCTAAGAACTAACCAAAAGAATCGAGTCTGGAGAAAGAAAATTGAAGAAAATGACAAAAAGGTGGAGACATACAATTCAAGGGTCGACCAGATACCAGGAGCAC